GCCTTAAATATGTGTCCCAGCTGTGTTCATGGGGTTTTTCAAATGAGGAACAAAATAAAACAATTTTTAAAGTATTTCTTAACAATAATGATAATGCCAGGGGAACAGATGTCTAGTTCAAGTGGCATAGTTTAGCACAATATAGTAAGTATTTTTAATAACCTGGAAATATCACATCAGCAAAGGAATGTCATATTTAAAATGTTGAGTTCAGTTCAGAATTTTTAAGAGTACTGTAACCGAGTACTGGGATAACTCCTCCCGTTGAGTTAGTCTCGGAGGCACACAGGGGCACCTCTGCACTGTCCCAGAGTGGCCACGAGTCATATTCGACTCCAGGGCAGTGAGTCTGGTGTTCGTCTTTTGGTCATAGAGTAAGTTTGGTATTGACAAAAAGTTTAACTTGGTGTTCAGTTAACATCTGAATTTTGCTATGTCTATTTTGAGGAGCCCTGGTGGTATAGTGATTATGTGTAGGGCTGTGATCCGCATGGTTGTCAGTTCAAAACGATCAGCCACTCTGAGGGAGAAAGACTGGGCTTTCTACTCCCATGAACAGTTACAGTCTTAGAAACAAACACACAGGGTCTCTATGGGTCAGTATTGACGATGGGATCGGGAGGGGAAGGGGAAAGACCTATTTTAATGATCTGTTTAAGGTACCATTTTATGAAGTAGGTACCTTCATTTAGTACTTTCATTTAACATTTAAAACAAAAGAGTATAAATTTTTCTACTATGTAACCATGATTCAAATTCTGGAGGGCTAAGGGAGAAGCACACAACTAAAACAAGCCTGTCCTTTTACTATGTAATTACTAACGTACTATGTGTCTCTTTCAAATAACCAAGAGGATTTCTGAGACACCGCCTCATATTTCTTTCCTGGTGCAGCTGGTGGGTTTGAATTTGACTTTGTAGTTAGCAGTCACTATACTCCAAAAGCTCCTTAAGGCTACTTATCATCTTTAAAAATCCAGAAGGAAACATAAGAACGCGTAGTAAAATCGATGAAAAATATGAAATTTGAATGACTACCCAAAAAAAGGAGAAAGAAACTCACTGCCATGGTTGATACCAACTCATCGTGACCCTATAGGGCAGGGTAGAACGACCCCTGTTGGTTTCTGAGACTGTACCTCCTGATGGAAGTAGAAAGCTTCATCTTTTTTCCTTGATGCAACCTGTGGTTTTGAACTGCTGACCTTGAGGTTAGCCATGCAATTCATAACCACTGTGCCAGCAGGACTCTGAAAAATAAGAGGGAAAAAAAAAGAGACTGGCACATCTTTAAATAATATTTTTAAAAGACAGTTAAAAGCCTTAGTAATGTGTCCATGGCTTTATGTCTAGAAACCAATTTTCATGGACTTGCATTAAGATAGAACCTGGGCATGGTCATCTGTGCTGCCATGACCCTGCTCATACCTTTAAAGGAAGGGCTGAGAAGTCGGTTCTTTACAGTAGGAATTTGTCTACTACCAGGGCCCTTGCCCTGAATACTGTATTTTGCACCCATAGAAATAACATGGACTCATATAAACAGTGTGCAGCACACATGGGAAATGAATACAAAATGGGTTGTACTGGTTGCAAAACTGTTTAACACATATATTATTTATAGGAAAATGCAGTATTCAAATAAAATCAAGGAATGGACAGCAGCTATCTACGATCCCACACATCTGTATCATAAGCCTAACTTGCTTAATTTTAATTCAAGTTTTAATAAATCCTTGGAGTTTTCACATATAGGTCTAGAATGGGTAATGATAAAGTTCTATCATTTGACTACTTTCATATATATGAAGAGAAAACCCAGAGCCAACTGGAATGCATAAGGAATTTACCAGTTCAAGTACATGAACAGTCTAGAGGTATACTAGCCTGAGTTCAACAGGGGTGACCAAGGAATTTTTTCCCTCTGCTCTGTTCCACAGTGTTGACTTCTTATTCCTGATCAGAAACTAGCATTCAGCAGTTCACAGTGGCTGTATTTTCAGGTTGAAAAACAGCAAAAAAGATTGAGTGCCTTTATCTAACATTCTTAGTGAATGCCTTAAGATTCATTCTGAGTGGTTTGGATTACTTAGGGCACATGCCTGCCATGACTGCCTTAGGCTAAGTCATGTCTTACATGTCTTACAAATGCTTCATAACATGTATAAAATAAAACACTTTAAAGGTGATCTTAGTGATTTTTAGAGTTCTTACATTTTTAAATAATGGTATTGTACTACATTTCAAGGGCGAGCCAAGCACATGCCTATGTTCTAAGAAATGATTCTAATCACAAGACCCAAATTGAGCAAATTAATCTGTAATGTAAATCATGGTTTGAAGCCCTCAGAATGCATTGCCAGGTTATAACACATGGCTAACATAATGGAAAAGACAATACCATAGCTTTCCAAGAAAAAAACAAATGAGAGCATCTTTTTATCCCCATGCCTTTTCAAGTTATGGAGGTGCCAACTGTTCATCAAGTGTTGGGCTGTTCACTGCTAGGTCGCTGGTTCAAACCCACCAGCCACTCCATGGGAGAAAGATAACTGTGCATTGTGCTTCTGCAAAATGCAGTTCTCTGCATCCTGAGGCAGTTCTACTCTGTCCTCAGGAGGAATTGACTAGATGGTAGTGCGTTTGGCTAGCTTTTTTCGAGTTATAATAGCAAGATTTTAAAGAAACAAGAGTACACAGATTTCTTGTATTAGGGCCATAAAAAATCTTTTAAAAATATTTTGTTTCATAGGTCATTAAACTATATACAACAATACAATCCATTCTGTGAGTGAAGATGCTCATTAAACCTAACCTACACACACACACACACACACACACAACTGGTCCTAAAACAGCTCCAGCGACACGGTGGCACTTCTGGGTATCTTTGGGAATGTGCAAGTACAAATTATTCCTGAATTATGTTTCTTGCATTGCATGGCTCGAATTCCTATAATCAACATAGAAAATGGACAGTGAATTATTCTCCATGTTATAATTAAGCCAAATCTCATTAGCCAGGATGGAAGTCAATATTTTGTCAGAGAAGTAGATTTGGATGGTAAAGCTGAACAGAAACGACAGGTAAAACATCAAGCAAGATTTTTTTCAGCAGAACTACTCACATGACCATGTTACACAGTGGTCACCGTCACCTTACAGCCAAACTTGACTTGCCTTATCCACCTAGAGAGAAGCTGTGTAGTTAGAGGAAAGGGTGTGATTTAAAGAAAACCTCTATAATTATTCAATTATGTGGATTGGTTTTTCAACTACTCTAGCATTCAGATAATTTAATTTAGTAAATAAGTACAAATCACTGTATTAAGAACATAGCATTAGTGTTAGATAAGCTAGGGAAATAAACATAGCCCCTGACTTCACAAAAGTTTTAATGTAATATGCAAAAGCAACCTAAACACAACAAAACATTACTGGACAGCACAGGACTTGTGAGAAACCAAGTGAATCCTGCTAACTTCTGAGTGCAAGTAACAGAAAATCCTAAAGCAACATTGCTTAAATAATAGGGGAGTTTACTATCTCCTATCTATTAAGTAAAGGAGCTCTGGTAGTACAGTGGGCTATGTGTTGGGCTGCTTACTGCAAGGTCAGCAATTTGAAATCCAGAGCCACTCTGAGGGAGAAAGATGAGGCGGTTTACTCCTGTAAAACGTTAACTGTCTCGGAAACCGAGTGGGGCAGTTCTATTCTGTCCAATTGGGTCACTGGGAGTTGGCATTGACTTCAATGGCAGTGAGTCTTTAAGAGATATATGTGCAGGTGGCTCTGGGCAATGGGTTCCAGGTCTGCATCTCTGCGATATCGTGGCTCTGCCCTCCTCGTGGGCACCACCTTCAGAATAGTACAAGATGGCTGCAGCAGTTCCAGATGTTACATCTAAACACAAGATACTCTGGGAAGAAGAGGGGCTATTTTTCTTGCTTTTCCTCAAAAACAAGAAAACCTTTCCCTGAAAGAAGCCTTTTGGAGACTGCCCTTCATCTCCTCCGTTTATCTCCCATTGGCCCAAACTGGGTCACATGCCTATGCCTAAAATAACCACAGCCAAAGGAACGGAAACCTGCTAAGATCATGATTAGAATGGTGCTGGGAAGAACCTTGACCATCACCTTGGTGTTGGCTGAGTATTTCCAGGAAGAGGTCCTTACATGGATTTGGCCTTGCCTTTGACTGATTTGGACCAGAGAAAGGTTAAAAGAAAAAACAAAACAAAAACACAGGCAAGTTAGGTACACCTAACTGGTAGAAGAAAGTCAGACTCCACAATGTACTTTAAACTTGCTTTTAGAGATATTCTCTTAAATGGCACTGCTGTCATTTTCCACAATACTAAAGTTTCTCTTCACAGTAAACACTAAGAATGCAGGAGGCAATCCATTTTCATGGAAGCCGTTAGCTTTATCTATTTACCAGTGGAGGGCAGCCAGACTCACCACTCCTCGCCAGTGAAACCACCTCTTTTCTGAGCTAACTCTGGGCTGAGAACATTCCACATTATGCAGACAAGTGGCTCTCAGACTCACTCTCAGTGGAAGCTGTTCCGTGAAAGTTTCTCCTTGCTTGAGTTCCAGGTCTCACTCAGGAATCCATACACTCACAACTGGTCCTGTCTGAAAATTAAAGCATCCAATTAGGTGGGGGTTAAAAAATACATATATACAGAAAACAATTTCTCCTCCGATCTACACCTAAGCTGGCCCACATGAAGGCAAACACCAGGCTTACGAAGCACCATGTTCAAACCAAGCAACCTCTGCAGTGTGCTTACATCGCCAACTTTTCGTCATCCAATTCATAGCACACCTCGTGCAACTTTAGACAAGGGAGTTTCAATAAGTTCGTGGAAAAATGCCGTGATATTTAAATTACCTTTTCCCATGCACTTTCAGGAGCCCTCATATGCAAAAGGTTGCCAACCAGGAAGGATCCAGCACGGCTGTTTGGTGGGCCCACACAAGGCTGAGCTATGTTAAAGGGTAGCAATTTTTAAAATGTAGATTTCTAACCTCTCTTGAAAAATCAGGAAATCTGGAAACCCTGAGCCACTTTTCCATAAGATAAACAATCTAAGCTGATTAGCATCTGACCCCTTAGAAAGGACGTGAACTCTGTAGTCTCCACAGGTGTTACCACTCTCTCTCTCTTCTATTGCAACCTGCCTCACACTTGCGTGCCCCGTCCCGCAGACGTCTGAACCTGTCCCTGCTAACTGTTTACAAAGAAATGCAGCTTCCCTAGAACCACACCCATAATGGAGAGAACATTAATGTCTGTTCTTTACAGCCCTCATTTGTGGTATATTTTGTTCTGATAGCATTAAATAACTAAGAGTATCCCAGATATCCTTCTACTGGTGAATGGATAAATAAAATGTGGGATATATCTACATGATATGGATCAAGTTTGAGTCCCAAAATGTGAGCTGGAATCCTGACATTTCTACCTGTGAATGTCATGTGATACAATGACCTTGATCTAATCTAATCACCTGCTATAATGTCATGTCATCAATCAGTTGAGGTGATACTAGTGTAGGATAGATCCTAAGTCGAATTACTTGTGAGTTCTAGAAATGCCAAAAATTTATTAGATTTACAAGAAAAGCAGGACCTTGTCAATGCATTAAGTTGGGAAATCATTGCCACAAACTTTCTCTTACAAAAATAACTCTTAAAAGTACAACATCTCAATTCTAAGGATCAAAAATATATTCTTAGTGGCCACAACGATAGCATCCACCAAAAATTTGTTGCACTCTAATTGGATTTGGCCTTAGCTAAGAAAAATTTGGTGGGTTTGATTATTTATTCACTTGTGGTCTACTAAACTTCAATAATTCATTATACTCAATAGGAATTAGACAAAAAATATTGTCATTTCACCGTCAACCCAAAAGATATTTTAATATAATCCTTTATTTGATTAGAGTCCATCTGGGTATCATTACCAAATGTACCTCAAATTCTGCTTGGAGTTCATGGAAGAGGAGAAAGTCAGGAAACCATACTCAATCTGATTAATGTTAAATTTTGGCATGCTGTGGTACTGTTTGTACTACATTAAATGCCACCTCTATCCCCATCTGCCAATGTTATTTATATTACAAAGACAGCTAATGTCATTATTTCCACAGCTGAATGTAGTCCTTATATTTCATTTAGACAGTATCGAAAAAAGCATGCTCCACTAACTCTACTAAGAGATATCTTCCCTCCAAGTTGATCAGTCTCATCCACCATAATGCTATGGAAAGAAAAATATAATTCTAAATAAATGAATTAATGATGCTAGCTTCAAATTTCTTTAAGGATGTCACATAGAACAACTGTGAGAGTTCAGCAGCATCCCAAAGTAATAGAACTGGAATCAATGAGTGGAGCTTATATCCAACATAGAGAATATCTCCTCTGAGTCACGCCTGCCTAAAGGTAGACCCTCCTGCCTTGGGATGCAGTGAACACCTCCCCTCAGTGGACAGGATGTGATGACAGTGACAAAAAGCCCTAGAGTTGAAAGGAAAAGAAAAAAGTCCCGTAGTTGATTCAGAACAAATCAGCAACTTGGAAGAATAGATTAGACGTGCTCTGTGGGGCTTTCCAGGAGAACAGACAGCTTCATCTTTCTCCCAAGGAGCAGTTGATATGTTTGAACTACCGGCTGTGTGCTTAGCAGCCTAACACTTAGCCCATTATACCACCACCAGCTTTCCCAAAGGATAGTGGCTTAAATTTCCAGGCCTTGACTCTACCAGCAGAGACCTGGTGACACAGCAGTTGAATGCTCAGCTGCTAACTAAAAGGCCAGTAGCAGTTTCAACAGAGAAAGATGTGGCGGCAAACTGCTCCATGAAGATTGACATCCTTGGAGCCCCTGTGTAACAGGTCAACTCTGTCCTACAGGGACACTAGGAGTTCGCTTGATGCCACTAGGCGTGGTTTTTTGGTTTGACCCTTCTAGATTACTCTAAGTTTCAAGGAAAAATATCAGCATAAATGCATGTCTGATTTCTTGGCTCATTTAAGGTCAAATGCCAATTCTGGGTTTTTTTTCCCTCAAAGAAATAGAGGAAATAAAAATCTATTAAGGCATTCAACTTAATTTCTTTATTTTACCATCAGAAAGGTCAGGAAATAGGCCTAGAGTCAAATAACTAATCAATATAATGTCTATTAGCACTGCTACAAATTAGTCAGGTATTTCCCTAGGAAAACACACATGCAAGCATTTCTTAAACAGTTTAAGTAAAAAATTAGCTGGGCAAATAAGGTAATCAGTAGTGACAAATCAAAACATGTTGGTTTGGCTTCTTGCTGTTGTTTGATGGTACAGTTAACTTTCCTAGTCCCTAAAAGTGTGTTTCCAGGCATCTACAGCCCTTCCCACCAACTTCCGAAACCTCAACAGCTGCCTTAACTTCTTGTCTCATTCACAGGTACCCTCATACACACCTGCCCTATATTCTGTAACCCTACCCCACACACATAGAAAAAGAGGTAATAAAAACGAGTCATCGGTGAGAATTAAGACAATACAACCACTCTGGAAAATTTTGGCAATTTTCTTATAAACTTAAGCTTACACTTACCATGTACCCCAGCATTCCCATTCCTAAGAAAAAGGAAAACATGTTCACACAGAGGTGAGCTAACAGAGGCAGTTCAATACAGACAATAGGCTCTGAAGGCAAACGGTCAGGATATAAATTCTAGCTGTCAATTACTAGATGTGTTGAATTTAGTCCAGTTATTCAACCACTCCATGCTTCATTTCCCTAAAGTATAAAATGGAACTAATCCCTGCGGTTACTGTAAGGTTCCAATTGGGCTAATATGTGTCAGATGCCTAGAACATGGCCTACCCAGAAGTAAGCCTTCAGAAGTTTGGGGATTAGAAGATTGAGGCTTCAAAGTATAACATGATGCTAATAGCATTCTTAGGAAATCAAGGAACAAGTTTCAAATTTCTTCGGAAAGTCCATGGAAAATGTGTATTATGAAAACTCTACCTGGATTTCATTTTTAAAATGAAATATCAAAATAAACTCACACTACTTTGTTATAACATGTTTGAATAGGATCTAGTTTGGGGCACTAAGAAGGTAAGACATCCATTTGAAAAAAGTCCCTACTAGAGTCACGTGAATTCAGCTAAAATTGAATCAAAAGCAAATATCAAATTTATGATGCAGCTTGGGTGAAAGAAGGGTGAAATCGTTAATGCTTGAGCAGAGTTTATGGGTGCAGTGCCCCCAAACACCAGCAGTTTACTAATAATTAACTCATTTGAAGACGGGAAAAGATGGTTGTTGAAGATGAAGCCGACAGCCTTAATTGAGAAGGACCAATGACTAACAGAAGAAACAGCAGGCAACACCAAAGATTGCTCAACTGATTCAGTTTACACAATTCTGACTGGAAAATTAAAGTGAGCAAATTTTCTGCTTGATGAATGCCAAAACTGTTGTATCCAGATCAGCGGCAGACAAGAGCTAAGTTTTTAATAGACCTTTTAAAGAAGTGGAATTAAAGATCCTGAAGCCATTCTTCAAAGAATTGTAACAGGAGAGATGACTGTAGCAGTACAATCCTGAAGGCAAGACATAATGACTTCCAAGAAGTAGTAGTCCAGACAAAGTAAAAGCAGGTGTGTGAGAGTGGACTAG